CTAAGATGCACTAAAGAGTTACACCAAGGTTCCCAAACTTTTTTATGTCGAAATATTTTCTTGAAGAACCCTTTGAGATTTTAATATTTGAAGTTAATATACTTTTTTTTTTTTTTACACACATTTGACACATTTTCATTTTCATAGTTCTCTGTGGCCACATGCAATTAAAATTTAAAAAATTAATCTTTTTTTAGTACATTGTTTATTATCAAATGTTTTTATTATCAAATTGTTTATATATAGTGCTGCCTGTATATATGGCTTTTTGGTGGTGGTGTTATATTGTTTTACCTCTTATAAAAATGTTAATGTATAAAAAATGATATAATGAATTACATAAATATATTACTTTTAAATTACAGTTGTCCTGTAAAATAAAAAATGACACTTATAATTTATATATCATATATTTTTTGCAAATTCTATTTTACACTGCAAGTAACAGTACTCATATTTATGTATTACATGTATTAAATTCTTCACTTTCATATTTTCATATCCTAAAGCTTTTATTTTGGCAGAATACTGGTGAAACACTAAACCTTTATGCACAGAAATTATGCAAATGTGGACATTTGATAATCACACTAAGCTATATTGCCTTTTCAGTTTTATTTAGATTGTGCAGCCACATATATTTATTTTAATTATACATTTGGTTTAATTATTAGCTTTCAATCAACTCGAACCCCCTGCAGTACCCTTGTGAACCCCCAGGGGTTTGTAAGTCCAGGGCCATTTCTGCTATGGAATATGTTTTAAACTGTGTAAATTAAAAAAAATTTAAAAAGTATGTTTGTGTGCAAATTTTATATTTATGAGAAATATTTTATCTATGATAGGAATATCTGAGTAAGAGTATCTGGTTTTGTACTGTTCTGCCAGATACAAAAAGACGTCTGAGACCCTGAGCACGGCAGGACAGCGGACCTCAGTGGCCTTCAGTAACCTGGGCAATGCCATCAACAGGAAGTTCGGCGATATGAGGTACAATGTCACTTCCTCCTCTGCCTCTTTCTGCAGGAATCTCCCACAAATGCATAGTACACACGCTGTGATTGTTGCACAGTGAAATGGCAGTGGTCTTGAGGCATTTACTTTGGCCAGTCTGTTTGAGTGGCATGTTTGTGTTACGTAAGCCTCATTTAAGCAGCTTTCAGTGGGCCAGATTGGGGCATGTCCAGCTGGCATAAAAACAAGAGCTTGTGATGGCATGAAGAATTAACCAGCTCCTCTTCACTGGCTCCTGCATGGTTGAGACACTCTTTGACAATAGATGCATTCAGTTTTAGAAGAATAGTAAGAGAGAAGTGTCCACATCTACAGCAGGGTGATAAGGGTTGACTGTTGACAGTTTGTTATAATTAATAATGGTTATACTTATTATACAGATGGAAGTCCTAAACACTGCAACAACAACAAAATTCAGATTTTCCTCATTTTTTCCCCAGTAGAAATATATAACTAAATATATTTATAAGAGCAAATACATTATTTTGATTGTTGTTAAAATAGGTAGTGTAGTGTATTTTAGTATTTTTCCACTATATTTTTTCTAATAACTAATTGTTTACAAATGTATAATAATAATATATTATTATACATCATATATATATATATATATATATATAATTTTTTTACTGGGAAAAAGGTCAAAAATATAGATTGATAAGTGACAAAATATATAATTTACATGATGTAATAGAATTTGCAGGAGTGTTATAGGGTACACATTATGTTGTGCGTTTGTGTGTTTGTAAGACAATATGTTATTCATCAATTAATTATAAAGAATGATCAAAATCATTGCATGATGCCCAGTTCTAATTTGCCACTCGCTCCCGCATTTGCTTTAGCAATATAGTGTTGATTTTACTGTAATTGGACATTTCTGTAGATCCAAAACCTCATTACCTTGTTTTACTTCAGCATGTTTGGCCTTCAGATACTGTATCCTAGGAGGTATGTGTGTTTGGTTGCCAATGTGTGACACCATCTCTCTGCATGTGCTTGGGGGTTTTCTACCTCATGTTTGCAGTGAACTTCCAAAAATCAATGTTTAGCCTTGCATGCTTATTGGCTTATAGCTATAGCAGCATATTGCATGATTACAGTCCATACTATATATGGCGTTAATATGGAAAATAATGCTTTTTGCTTTTCAGGAGTTCATCAATACTTCAAAAATAGTCAAAATTCACATTTTTGTTGAAATGTTGATAAATATTCTTATAACTTCTGCACAGTGCTGTGTTCAGCCTGTTGCTTCAGGCCTAAATTGGCAATTATTGGAAATGGTTAAAGTTCATTAGCAACTTTAACTGCCAGTATACAGTGGCCCTAAAAAGTAACACCTTAAAGACACTTACTCTAAGTAAGTCACACTTCAAAATTTGTGAATGCTATTGCATTAGATGCACACTTTTAAAGCTAATTTTACAAGGTTTCATGTGACAGAACAATTGTTTAAAATGAAGACAGTAAGTGTTTGTAGTGTTAACTTGAGTGAAACTAAATTCAGACATCTACTAAAAAAATATACTTGGATAAAAGTTAGGTTTAAAAATGTTCAAGAACCATTTGGTTTAATATTTTTAATATTTCCATTTAAGTGTCAAAAACTGTTTTTGTGACTACTGTATTACAATTCTAAAATAATTTATTACATTTTTTTTTTTTAAATCATTAAAAATCTGTTGCATGGTTTGAAATAAGTCTGATTTATTGTTATGGTTTTATGCGAAAGTTATACCGATAGTGTTGTTCTTAACTTGATAACTGCATGAATTTTATATGTCCTCAAATATGTTTTGAGGCTCATATGACTGGAATTTTGTTGTGTGGCCTATAATCTGTCAGCAAAAAAATGGTGTATAATGTTCTTTCCCTGTCTCTGATGCACACCAAAGGTCATATTCTCTTGGGTAAGATAATGTGTTTATAGATCTTCGAGATTAGCAGTAGCTTTTAGCATCTGCCTGATACATGAGAACAGTGACGGTGCTGAAACTAAATCTGACTCAGACACAGTGTTTCCATAAATAATCAATATGGGTGTGAAAGGGTGTTCAAGTATTTGAGCAGCTAATATGAATATTTCAATGCAGTTTCAATGAGTGTCTGTCTTACATTGATTACATTGAAAAAAATTTGTGCGGAGCCATAAATTTATTAGATAATATGAGATCTGAAATGGTTCGATATCTCAGACTGTGCTGTAGCATTATAAGTAGGTCTTATTTTTGTTTTTGGTTGTTTAGCTTACATTGATTACATTGAAAAAAATTTGTGCGGAGCCATAAATTCATTAGATAATATGAGATCTGAAATGGTTCGATATCTCAGACTGTGCTGTAGCATTATAAGTAGGTCTTATTTTTGTTTTTGGTTGTTTAGTTTTTTTTATCAGCAATGCATTTTCAAATCCATGTTGAGTTCGCAAATCCAAAGTAACAATCATTTCTCTGTCTCCCACATTGACTACATGCATCTGTTTAATAGATAACTGTTTTCAGCATGTGTTGCTTTTCATTGAACTATTTATGTGTTGACAAATAATGCATGTAATACTCTTGTTTTGATATATAGTTTATGAGAGAAATAGCTGATCCCACCTACTTTGAATAGCCGTGTGTTTTTTTTTTATCAGGTATGCAGTTTAGTTCTCACTATGCATAGAAAACAGGAAGTGCAAAATGACCACAGTTCTGTACTGTGTTGTCCATTGGAAAGTCACCAGCTTGTACAGTACCATTCTAAATTTGAGGTCAGGTCTTATGTTTAGAAAGAAGTTAGTAGTTTTATTTGACAAAGAAGCATTGCATCAAAAGTGACAGTAAGGACATTAGTTACAATAGATTTCTATGAATGTAAATGCTGCTCTTTTGAAAAAAATAATAATAATGCTGTTTCCACAAAAAATATTAAGCAGCACATCTGTCAACATGGATAATTATGAAATGTTTTTGAGCACCAAATCAGCATATTAGAAATAGAATGATTTCTGAAGGATCATGTGAAGACTGGAGTAATGGCTACTGAAAATGCAGCTTTGCATCACAGGAATAAATTACATTTTAAAATGTATTCAAATAGAAAACAGCTATTTTGATTTGTAATAATATTATACAATTTTAATAGTTTTGCTATTTTGATCAAATGCAGCCTTGGTGAGCATAAGCGATTTCTTTCAAAACATTTAGAATCTTACCAATCCAAATGTTTTGGTTGTTTGGTGTAGTAGTGAAACATACTGCTGCATGCTACACTTACATATAATTATTAGCAATGTTTATATGTGTCCTATTTGCAATGTATTTGTTTGTCCATGATAATGATCGAACCTCTCTCTTGCTTGGCCATGCTTTCATGGGACAGCTATTCTATACGGCATTCAATGAGCATGCCTACAATGAGGTAAATGACTACTGTATTACAATTCTAAAATAATTTATTACATTTTTTTTTTTTAAATCATTAAAAATCTGTTGCATGGTTTGAAATAAGTCTGATTTATTGTTATGGTTTTATGCGAAAGTTATACCGATAGTGTTGTTCTTAACTTGATAACTGCATGAATTTTATATGTCCTCAAATATGTTTTGAGGCTCATATGACTGGAATTTTGTTGTGTGGCCTATAATCTGTCAGCAAAAAAATGGTGTATAATGTTCTTTCCCTGTCTCTGATGCACACCAAAGGTCATATTCTCTTGGGTAAGATAATGTGTTTATAGATCTTCGAGATTAGCAGTAGCTTTTAGCATCTGCCTGATACATGAGAACAGTGACGGTGCTGAAACTAAATCTGACTCAGACACAGTGTTTCCATAAATAATCAATATGGGTGTGAAAGGGTGTTCAAGTATTTGAGCAGCTAATATGAATATTTCAATGCAGTTTCAATGAGTGTCTGTCTTACATTGATTACATTGAAAAAAATTTGTGCGGAGCCATAAATTTATTAGATAATATGAGATCTGAAATGGTTCGATATCTCAGACTGTGCTGTAGCATTATAAGTAGGTCTTATTTTTGTTTTTGGTTGTTTAGTTTTTTTATCAGCAATGCATTTTCAAATCCATGTTGAGTTCGCAAATCCAAAGTAACAATCATTTCTCTGTCTCCCACATTGACTACATGCATCTGTTTAATAGATAACTGTTTTCAGCATGTGTTGCTTTTCATTGAACTATTTATGTGTTGACAAATAATGCATGTAATACTCTTGTTTTGATATATAGTTTATGAGAGAAATAGCTGATCCCACCTACTTTGAATAGCCGTGTGTTTTTTTTTTATCAGGTATGCAGTTTAGTTCTCACTATGCATAGAAAACAGGAAGTGCAAAATGACCACAGTTCTGTACTGTGTTGTCCATTGGAAAGTCACCAGCTTGTACAGTACCATTCTAAATTTGAGGTCAGGTCTTATGTTTAGAAAGAAGTTAGTAGTTTTATTTGACAAAGAAGCATTGCATCAAAAGTGACAGTAAGGACATTAGTTACAATAGATTTCTATGAATGTAAATGCTGCTCTTTTGAAAAAAATAATAATAATGCTGTTTCCACAAAAAATATTAAGCAGCACATCTGTCAACATGGATAATTATGAAATGTTTTTGAGCACCAAATCAGCATATTAGAAATAGAATGATTTCTGAAGGATCATGTGAAGACTGGAGTAATGGCTACTGAAAATGCAGCTTTGCATCACAGGAATAAATTACATTTTAAAATGTATTCAAATAGAAAACAGCTATTTTGATTTGTAATAATATTATACAATTTTAATAGTTTTGCTATTTTGATCAAATGCAGCCTTGGTGAGCATAAGCGATTTCTTTCAAAACATTTAGAATCTTACCAATCCAAATGTTTTGGTTGTTTGGTGTAGTAGTGAAACATACTGCTGCATGCTACACTTACATATAATTATTAGCAATGTTTATATGTGTCCTATTTGCAATGTATTTGTTTGTCCATGATAATGATCGAACCTCTCTCTTGCTTGGCCATGCTTTCATGGGACAGCTATTCTATACGGCATTCAATGAGCATGCCTACAATGAGGTAAATGTGTGTGACAGTTTGCTTTGCATGTATGTTCTATTATTGCATTTAAAAAAAAACATTTTAAAACGTCAAAGGCGAACTACAACAATGCATGTGGCATTATATAGCACATATGCATATATAAAATAGTACACTACAGGTTGAGTGTTGGCGTGTCAGATGTATAAACATTTAAAAAACTGTTAATAATGGTTATCCTTGCATGTAACATCTTGCATGCACCTTCATTACACTAAAACAACCTGGAGAGGATATTAGGACTGCAGGTGAACGAACCAGTTGAGGTTTACTGTCTAGATTAGGTAAATAAAACTAAACTACTTTTATTTTACAGGAACTCGCCTAGTTTCAAGTCCTTTGAGGAGAAAGTCGAAAGCACGGTTTCTAACATTAAGGTAAGCCTGACATACAATGTCCTTATTTGTGGTCAAACAAGCAAACTGTAGGGTGTTCAGTGCTGTTAATAATTGATCAGCTTATCATTAGGAATTTTCAACTTCACTATCCTGAATGTCAACATACTATTCAATGTCATGAGAGTTTTGTGTTGTGAGCAGTCAAAGGTTGGAGGAACAGGAGGTGCGGGCAATTTTGAAGAGGTCCTGTCTTCAGCGGCCCAAGCCAGCGCCCAGGGCACCCCTACTAATAATGTGATGGAGAACAGTGAGCGCTAAGGGTTTCAATGGTCTACCAGTGGAACTCTGATGACCCCTAGTGGTTTGGAGACCACAGTGAAAATTGCACCGGGGGCCCAAAACACGGTAATACATGCCTTTCAGATGCGTGTTGGAGGATTATCTGTGCATGGGAGGAAAACAACCAAGTGGAGCCTGTTTATTCTTTAAGTTCTTTTCAAAATATGTATATTTTTCGAGGATATTGTCTTTGGTGTAGTCCTGCGTTACTTTATTATTTATACTATTACTAACTCAACATTGTTTAACTGTAACGAAGCATGATACATTTCCAGGACCAAAAATATTGGCTGCGTATGCAATCCTAAAAGAAGTACTTGAAAGAATGTTCAACAAAATAGATGTTAGACTTTGTTTTCCTGTTATAAATGTGTTAATGCTCCTATTCCTGCTAACTAGAGCACATGTTTGTTGATAACAGATGCAAACAGCAAATTACAGAATGAGGATTTAGAGCATTTTATTGCAGTTTATTAGCTTATCTGATTGCCTGATGTAAATTGTAATGTATTGGTAATGATAATTGTCACTGACCAAAAATGTATAGCATTATTATATCCTGTTTCGTTTCTTTACTTCATACATTTGTGTGAAATTTGTTGCAGCTTTACATATTTAACATTGACAATGAAGTCAGGTGTTGTTTTAAGATTTTATAGCCGAAATATTTCTTCAAATTCATACTCGGTGTTGAGCTGCTGTTCATTAATAGTTAGTCATTAAACTTTAAAAAGTCACAAAGTCCCGGCTCATCAGTCATGAAATTAAGGTGAACTGAACCGTAATCAGAAACCATAAAATGAACATTAATTTACTGTTCCTTTGTCAGTGAAAGGGTAAAGCGTGGCAAAGTCTTTGCAAAAAAATTTTGTAGCTTCTGCTTAATGCTTTCCACTTGGAAAACTAGCACTGCTGTAACTCATAATTTCACAGAACTGAATGTGTATACAGTACAAACATATTTTGAAAGTTGTTATAATTATTGCAGAATGAGTTGTTTACATTTCCATTCCGTTTTCATGCGTTCAACAAAGTAAAGTCAGTTTCAATTGATATAAAATAATATTTTTATTGAAACATCAGTTACTGGAAGGCAGTAAATGCTGATCAAAATACAAATAGAACGAAAAACAGCTTCTGAACATTTAAAAAACAGTCACATTTCAATGTGGTTTTAAAAAAAAAAGACTGAATTTTTATCAAAATTGCAACTATGGAAACTTATATCCTGTTTCGTTTCTTTACTTCATACATTTGTGTGAAATTTGTTGCAGCTTTACATATTTAACATTGACAATGAAGTCAGGTGTTGTTTTAAGATTTTATAGCCGAAATATTTCTTCAAATTCATACTCGGTGTTGAGCTGCTGTTCATTAATAGTTAGTCATTAAACTTTAAAAAGTCACAAAGTCCCGGCTCATCAGTCATGAAATTAAGGTGAACTGAACCGTAATCAGAAACCATAAAATGAACATTAATTTACTGTTCCTTTGTCATTAAAAGGGTAAAGCGTGGCAAAGTCTTTGCAAAAAAATTTTGTAGCTTCTGCTTAATGCTTTCCACTTGGAAAACTAGCACTGCTGTAACTCATAATTTCATAGAACTAATGTGTATACAGTACAAACGTATTTTGAAAGTTGTTATAATTATTGCAGAATGAGTTGTTTACATTTCCATTCCGTTTTCATGCGTTCAACAAAGTAAAGTCAGTTTCAATTGATATAAAATAATATTTTTATTGAAACATCAGTTACTGGAAGGCAGTAAATGCTGATCAAAATACAAATAGAACGAAAAACAGCTTCTGAACATTTAAAAAACAGTCACATTTCAATGTGGTTTTAAAAAAAAAAGACTGAATTTTTATCAAAATTGCAACTATGGAAACAAACTGTCCTGCAGAGCATTCAAACAAACAGCACTGCAAACCATGCTTCTGTGCAATTAAATAAGATTAGAATAAAACACAGCTAATCAGGACAAAATAAACACTCTTGTGTACAGATGTGTGGAGGTAGCTTCATAGCCTGACCGGAACTGAGATCATGGTGTCGCTAGGGTGTGAGGGGTCTTCTCTGTATCATTATCTTCTTTGGCAGCGATGTGTCGAGCTCTCTCCTCATTCAAACTCTTCACCAGACCCAACACCTCCGGATGATGGAACCTCCCTGTGATCAGAGGAGAAAATACATCTGTGACATAACAAGCAAAATATAAAGCTATTTAACCGAATCATAATTTGTAAGCTTTGAAAATTGCAATTTCAAATATATGCAAATAATTAAAGGAATAGTTCACCCCAAAATTAAATGATTAAACCGGCTGTTTGTAAGAAACAAAACCATCATTAAGGTGTTTTAACTTTAAACTAGTGCTGTCAAACAATTAATCGCATCCAAAATAAAAGTTTTCGTTTTCATAATATATGTGTGTGTTCTGTGTATATTTATTATTGTTTATATAAATACACACACATACAGTATATATTTTGAAAATATTTACATGTATTTATATAATTTATATTATTGATAAATATATTTAATATATAAAAATAACATGTTTTTCTGAGATATATACATGCGTGTATATTTTTATATACATAATAAATATACACAGTACACATATATTATGTAAACAAAAACTTTCATTTTGGATGCGATTAATCTTTTGATAGCACTACTTTAAACCATTACTTATGGCCAAAATCTATAGTAATGCTTCCTCCAGTGAAAAAGTCCATCCCCTGTGGTCCTGTGGTTACTTTAAAATCCACTGACAGGTTTTGTTTAGAACCGGATGAGCTTGATCAGTGCATATTTCTCTCCTAATTGAGACAAGATTAATTTTTCACTAAAGAATGCAATATATATATATATGTGTGTGTGTGTGTGTGTGTGTGTGTGTGCATATGTATAAATAAATAAATATATATATATATATTTATTTATTTATATATATTTATACACACACACACACACATATATATATATATATATATACACATACAGTTGACTGGAGTTGTGTGGATTATTGTGATGTTTTTATCAGCTGATTGGACTCTCATTCTGACGGCACCCATTCACTGCAGAGGAAATATAGTTGAACAATTGATATAAGGCAAAATTTCTCCAAATCTGTTCTGATTAAGAAATAAACTGATCTACATCATGGATGGCCTCAGGGTGAGTAAATTTTCAGAAAATGTATTTTTGGGTGAGCTGTTCCTTTAAGTAGGTGTAGAGTGTACTGAGACAGCCTTGATTAATACATTCGCATTTCTTTATGGGAGTGAACGGCTACTGTTGAAAATGTGAGCCAAAATCATCACAATTAAAAGAACCAAAGACTTAAACTACTTCAGTCTGTGTGCATTGAATTTATTTAATACACGGGTTTCACAATTTGAGTTGAATTACTGAAATAAATGAACTTTTCCACGACATTCTAATTTATTGAGATGCACCTGTACATGAACTTTAGAAATGTGAATGAATCTAATTAACCGAATAAGTGTGAATGAGTCCAAATGAACTGCACAAGTGAACAGATGAACAGCACAAATATGAATCAATCTCTGAACTGCACAATGCATAAATTAATTGACTCTTCTCTAAGCCCCGCCTTAAAATCGCTACTGACCAATCCTACCGTAGCAACTGTCTCTGACAAACTTTTACTCGCTTACAATGAGGATCTGTGTGTTTGGATACATACGCAGTTTTATCGAAACTGACCAGAAATACGTTTTTTTCCACCAAACGTTACGTAAATGTTGAGAGACTCCTTCTGTGGATTAAACTGTCACCCATCCCTCATTCCCAAATAAACATGAAGAGCATCAGTAAGGACATCTACGTTCGCTACAAGATAAACAGTCGACGTCTATGCAAAAACTCCTGTATTTTAAGACCCCTCATACAAACCTTTCTTTACTGACAGTGATGTCTTTTATGGTTAAGGCCATCATAGACATTCTGTACATATGATCAGACACACTCTCAGGATGTTTGATATTTCTGTACACCCATCCTGTTCGTGGTACACGCTGTAACACAAGCAAGCGTTAATTAAACATAGGTTGTCGCGCAAAACATTGGTATTAATACGATTTTTACTCACTTTTAGCTGTCCGACTAGTTTCATGAATTGTAACATGTTGTCCATTCCGTTACATCAACCAATAGGACGCCGACGTCAGCGACCCGGATGTAAACCACAGCGTCAAGTTGCCGGTTGTTGTAATGACATGCAGCCACCACTAGATGGTGAAAGAATACAATCGAGTCGATGGCGTCTCACAAGTCAAGCAAAATCTGTAAGTACAGTACTTCAGAAATAAATAAATTAATTTTCATAAAATAAATGAACACTTGTGCTTGCAAAAAGTACAAACGCGTGTGGTTTTTTTTTGGACATGTGCCATGGCATTTATATGTTTACCACATAAATACCATGAATGCTTAGTCTCTACCATTATATATTTTAAGGTACTACTATTGCCATTTGATACCATCTGTTATGGAACTTGACCATCATTTTTATTTTTAAATTTTATTTTTATTATTCTTTTTTTTTTACCATTTTTTGTCTTCTCACTACTCAAGTCAAGTGTCTATGGGAAACATCAATGTAATATAACTGACAAAAACACAGTATTTGCTTTCTTTTATCTTTGATTAAAATCATGTGCTTCTCAAATTTGAATCATTTAACCATCTTGTGACTGTTCATTCTCAAACTCATTCTTCCCTCAGTTGTTTTGGCCTTGACATACACTTTGTCTACAATGTTTCCTTAAAGTAAGTGAGTGGGATTGAGAAATGCCCACTTCACCATGTGCACATTCCTCAGAGAATACAAAACAAAACTGATTCAAGGTTAATACAGGAAATGTAAAACTTAAATTTTGTGCTTTGTACCATATACAATATGATATAGATTTAACCACAATCATTTTAAGTGTCATTTTACATTGATAAAATGCAAATGAGGGTCTTCAGACAGTGTTGTATGTGAGGCCGCTGACACATTATTTACAGGATATGAGTCTCTTCCTCATGCAAATCTTTTTTTGGGCGTGTGTTTGTAGTGACAGATATAACTTTTATTCTGTGATGGTCATCTTCCCCTACCTAAGTCACTGCTTTTTCTCATGACACTGTTTCCTGGAGGTATGGTCTATTTGTAGAGGGTGTAGACAATACATCCTGCTCGTGGGTGTTCTGGTTATCACTTCTTGAACATCCACCAGGAAGGATGTACTGTGGATATTTTGCACATTGTGGGATACCTGCTATCAGCTTTAATGATATAGGATTTTAAATGGTTTGATTAGCTCATGCAGTTGAAAACATAAGATGCGTTTAGCAAAAATGTGTCTGCTTAACATGTAAATGTTCAAAGATATGTATTTTGTCACACTAAATGACGTGAAATGTTATTTAAAAAATTAAGTTGTGGAAGACAGTCATTAATTGACAAGATAAGTTTAGATGATTTATTCAATAAATATGAATATAAAATCTCAAGCATACACTACCATTCAAAAGTTTAGTATCTGTAAACTTTGTTTTTGAAAGAAGTCTCTTATTCTCATTAAGACTGCATTTATTTGATCAACAATACAGTATAAACAGTAACTTTTTGAAATATTATTGTAATTTTCTATTTCAATATATTTATAAGCATTTTTACATATATATTACATATATTTATATGCATTTTTTTAGGATTCTTGGAAAGTTATTTTTTTTATTTCAAATATTTTGTATTTTATTTATTTATTTTTTGAAAAATTAAAATGTCTTTAATGTCACTTTTGATTAATGTAATGCATTCTTGCAGAATAAAGGTATTAATTTCTTTTTTTTTTTATCTTACTGGCCCCAAACATTTGAAAGCAGTACTGTAAATTTCAGCATAAATATAAAATCTTTTATTAAATATATAATTTCAGGATTTCGTTGTTGTGATTCCTTCTCGAAGTTTAATGCAATTTGCATTATTCCAAATGTAGTCTATTAATATTAGATATTACCATCATTTGAAACTGTGATTGTGTTTTAGATCACTTTGAAAATAAATTCAAGATAGGACATGTTTCTAAATGCAGCTTCACGGATGTATTTTGAACCGCTTCATCCCTTTGAGGCAAGAAACTCCAGTATTGTTTACAACTTCACCTGACATAGAGATCTTCATTTCAACTTGTGAATGGTTCTAATTGACCCCTGGGCCAGTAGGGAACACTTCTTTTCACACGTAGATGTGACAAGTGTCAGAAAAAGAACGACACCGACGTTGCTTCCGTTGTCAAAACAATGATAGCTGCACTCCTCTCTTTATTTACAGGATACACAATGTTCCTTCCTCTCTTCTTCTGGCAGCAGAAAATAGACCCACAGCTGACTGCAGAGAGACACTGGGCTGCTGACCGCTCATCTCCCTAATTGTCTCTTCCTCTATGTTTAACTGTTCGGTTGTATTACATTTCAAGCGTTCCGTCGACCTTTGATCTCAGTTGACCAGAGAAGGTCTAATATTAGAAACAGAAGCTAAAACGACTCTGGGAACTCTTTTGGGGGATTTTGCAGCTCTCTGGAAGTTGTGTGAACTGCTTCGGATGTGGATAGTGGGACACAACGACAGTTTCTCGTGAGAATGCAGTGCTGTCCCGTCAGTGGCGCTGGGGGATGTTTACAGAGGGCACGTGGTGTCTTCAGAGCATCACTCACAGGGGTGTGTTGGGGACGACGGCAGGTCTGCTCCCGGCACCCCGCTGATACTTTAACAGGCCATCCTTGCTCAGTGCTGTGTTGTCTGTGTTTGTGATTAGATTCTGACCCGCTCTGTTTACAGAGTTAATAACCTCCACAACTGAACACATACTGTCAAGTGAGAGTGATTTGCCAGACATTTGAGATTCAGAAATGTGTACGAATTGGCTACTAAACTACATGCACAAGAATATTTTTATTTTAATCAGAATTTGCCCATATACTGATTATGTGTGTGTCGTGTAAAAAACTTGTGGGTCTTCCCAAAATTAAAATTGGCTGAAAAAGTACTCGCCGTCAGGCCATTTATGATTTCGATGAGATGTTTCCGAGATGTTTCTTCATTAGAACAGATTTGAAGAAATTTAGCATTATATCACTTGCTCATCAATGAATCCTCTGCAGGGTATGGGTGCCATCAGAATGAGAGTGAATTATGATGGGACTCTAGTCCATCTGTGTTTGTAATAAACAAATCCATCATTATACATTTTTTACTTAAAATGCTTTTGACTAAAATATGATTCCTTATGCATAATATTGGTAAATTTCTCCAAGTATGTTGATATGAAGAACCAACTTCATTTTCATCTTGGATGGCCTGAGGGTGATTAAGTTTTCAGCAAATTTGCAAAAGGAGCCCCTACCAAGTACTGAGTACATGTACAGTAAATGAGCATACTTTCCAAGGCCAACAATTCACTAAAAATGTTTTTTTAATTGGTCTTATGAAGTATTCTAATTTGTTGAGATAGTGAATTGGTGGGTTTTTGTTAAATGTGAGCCAAAACCATCACAATTAAAAGAACCAAAGACTTAAACTACTTCAGTCTGTGTGCATTGAATTTATTTAATACACGAGTTTCACAATTTGAGTTGAATTACTGAAATAAAAGAACTTTTCAATGACATTCTAATTTATTGAGATGCACCTGTATATATAATTTTTTTAAAGAAATTAATTTATTTGTTCTGCAGTTAAATTGATCAGAAGTTATAGTAAAGACTTTTACATTATTACAAAAAAAAACATCTATTGCAAATGAATGCTGTTCTGAACATAACTGTTTACATCTGTGATTTAAAAAAAATCTAATATGCACCAAATCAGCATATTAGAATGTTTTCTAAGGGATCATGTGACACTGAAGCCTGGAGTAATGATGCTGAAAATTCAGCTTTGCATCACATGAAGTTATTTTAAATTATAAGAATACTTCAAAATATTACTGTTTTACTGTTATTTTTGACCAAATAAATGAAGCCTTGGTGGGCATTATAGACTTATGCTCTTAGGAAAATCTTACACACCCCAAATTTTTGATCAGTATATCCCAAAATAAGTACAAGCTTTACATTGATTCATTTAGCAAACACATATGTGACTTACAAGGTATACATTTATATAAATAAAACATGCATCCTTCTTTTGCTAGATTGCCATGGCAATGGGTAATGGATCTGGAATCCCCCTGGCTGCTATGCTGGGTGTCAGGGGGCCTTTTCACCACAGTCACGCATTGTGTGAGCGGACAGTGCTGGGGCGATGGTGGCTAACAAACAGCACTGGCAGTGATGGCTTGTGGGTGCTTTGTGTGGTGGGGCAGGCAGACAGAGAAGGGCCTTGTCCCAGAGGGCCGTGTGAATGAGGAGAGGTTAGAGCGGGGGCAGGTGTAACACGAGCCCCGGCAACGCCACTGTTCAAAAGAACACTACCTTGAAATGAGCAACCTCAGCCCGGCCATAAACTGAGTTCAGCGGTGGGGAGGGAAGGGGGGAGGCCACGCTGTTCCCTCTCAGGGAGCACATTGGGGGCTCGCAGGCCTTTCTTCCTCAGAGGGAAGAGCCTGAAGAAAGGGACATTGTCATTCATGGCTCCTGAGCTTTGATTTAGAGCCTGTGAGAGGCTGCGGCAGTGACGCACAGTGAGAGGTCTGTGCCTCCGCTCTGCTCACTTCTTGTTAAAGTAGAGGTGAAGCCTTTGGCGGCCATGGAATCGATTATTGACGCGCTTTAAACGCAGCAGCGCTACGTCCTCTTTGACTTCAAACATGTTGAAATGCCATCATTGTAGCTCTGAAATTTAACCCCAGTGATGACATCTAAAAGAGCATAAATTACATGAGGTGATATTTAGCTGAAGTACAGTAAACTGGTCAATAATGTATAAATATATTTTTAAAAAAGTTTTGATTAATTGTCCTGTGGCTCCTTATAATAGTATTACCATATGATAACTTATTTCCTTATCTATCTCTCTATCTGTCTGTCTGTCTATCTATCTATCTGTCTGTCTGTCTGTCTATATATTTGTCTGTCTGTCTATCTGTCTATCCATCTGTTTATTTATCTGTCCTTTGACTTCAAACATGTTGAAATGCCATCATTGTAGCTCTGAAATTTAACCCCAGTGATGACATCTAAAAGAGCATAAATTACATGAGGTGATATTTAGCTGAAGTACAGTAAACTGGTCAATAATGTATAAATATATTTTTTTAAAAGTTTTGATTAATTGTCCTGTGGCTCCTTATAATAGTATTACCATATGATAACTTATTTCCTTATCTATCTCTCTATCTGTCTGTCTGTCTGTCTATCTATCTATCTATCTGTCTGTCTGTCTGTCTGTCTATATATTTGTCTATCTGTCTATCCATCTGTTTATTTATCTGTCTGTCTGTCTATCTATCTATATATCTGTCTGTCTTTCTGTCTATCCATCTGTTTATTTATCTGTCTGCCTGTCTGTCTATCTATCTGTCTGTGTCTATCCATCTATCTGTCTGTCTTTCTGTCTATCCATCTGTTTATTTATCTGTCTGTCTGTTTATTTATCTGTCTGTCTGTCTGTATATCTATCTATATATTTGTCTGTCTTTCTGTCTATCCAACTGTTTATTTATTTGTCTGTCTGTCTATCTGTCTATCCATCTGTTTATCTATTTGTCTGTCTTTCTGTCTATCCATCTGTTTATTTATCTGTCTGCCTGTCTGTCTATCTATCTGTCTGTGTCTATCCATCTATCTGTCTGTCTTTCTGTCTATCCATCTGTTTATTTATCTGTCTGTCTGTCTGTATATCTATCTATATATTTGTCTGTCTATCCAACTGTTTATTTATTTGTCTGTCTGTCTATCTGTCTATCCATCTGTTTATCTGTCTGTCTGTCTATCTGTCTATCCATCTGTTTATTTATCTGTCTGTCTATCTGTCTATCCATCTGTTTATTTATCTGTCTATCCATCTGTTTATCTGTCTGTCTGTCTGTCTATCTGTCTATCCATCTGTTTATTTATCTGTCTGTCTGTCTGTCTGTCTGTCTGTCTGTGTCTATCCATCTGTTTATTTATCTGTCTGTCTGTCTGTCTATCTATCTATATATTTGTCTGTCTTTCTGTCTATCCATCTGTTTATTTATCTGTCTGCCTGTCTGTCTATCTATCTGTCTGTGTCTATCCATCTATCTGTCTGTCTTTCTGTCTATCCATCTGTTTATTTGTCTATCTGTCTGTCTGTTTATTTATCTGTCTGTCTGTCTGTCTATCTATCTATATATTTG